ATACATACATACATACATACGTACATACACACATACATATATATATATATATAGAATATATATATATATATATATATATATATATGTATAACTAATACAACCACATTTATTTAGGCACGAGTAAGGGATACTACTGGCCAGCTACCATACGGCCGGCAAGCGGGGCTGATAACGACGATGGGCCGTTTGTTGGATGGTCGTATTACTTTCCGCGGCAGTCCTGGGAGACGTGTAGCTTCATCCCTCGCATCCACCAGCTGGTCCACTTCTTTACTCGCCACCATGACATGATTGTCGAGGTAGGTATTCTCATGGATGGCGTATGCATATATTTACCCATCCTGTGACTTCATTGACTTCAGGCTTAGGGATAGAGAGTTACAGTATATGTCATATTTCATGTGGAATCTGTGAGCTTTGTTTCACGTGGTTGTGGCTGAGAGCTAGCTCTGCACTGTTGTACCGATGATAGTCAAGTCATATAGTATAAAGTTCAATAACGCCATGTTGCTTCATCGTAGCCTTGTTACATTTGTTTACCTCTTGGGGCTATTTACCGTCTCACGTCGAGTGATTTACCAATAGTTTCACGTTGAGGGATCATGTAATAGTCACCCTTACAGCGATAATGTACATTGACTATGGAAGTACCTTACCAATTCCTGCCTCCACAGAGAGATATATACGAGGAGAGCAAGTGCTGCATCGATTTTGCAGAGCTAATGGAATACAACGAAGCCGACGCTCCATCGGCGGAGGAGATTTCAGAAAAGCCTGACAAGATACTGCCGATGGTTGGATTAGCAATTCACCAGGTACGAGTGTTGTTATGGTTGAATTTATTCCTAGATGTATCATGCTCTTTTGTTCGATGCGTGCATAGAAAGTGGGGAATCCCAACGGTAGAAGGCTAAGTGATTTCCATAGCAATCTGTCAAAGTAAGGAGTTATGAAGTCTGTGTGGATTCTGTTTGGCCATGGTACTACACACGAGAAGGGCGTGATATAAATAACTATTTACCAATTGCATAAGTATATCTTGTTCGTAATGAAAGCACGATTTGTATAAGCAGTTTCCCACTTTGTTGCGTCTGCTGGAGGCAAGTTAGCTTTTCCACGTATTTGAAGAAGCTGAGAAACTGATTTTACCTGTAGACCAAGATAGTATTCTCTCGGATGTTGGATATCATTCGGCTGACATCATAAGTCTATAATGAATATTGATTTCCATATTGAAGTGCATGATCTCTTTAACCTGTATGTGCAAATCCGGAGTAGGTTGCGCTCGTGCAATATTATCATCGGTAGCACACTGACGTCGACTTATCATCAGTGTGTCAGATTTCAAACCAGAAATGAAAAGACTGCCATGCCTTCATTGTACTCGGCGTACATGCTTATGATGTACACTCACTGGGGTGAGCTGTATATGTTTCCTCTATTACACGCCTAGTTATCCTCAAGAAAGCAAGCAAGGGCAACAACGCTGAGAATACACATCTGTGCAATTATCACTCCAAGTACATGTATGCGTCTACCATGCCCTGCATCTCTGGGCGAGTACTGCATCGCTAACACTCTATTTTGCTTTTTGTACTTGAAAAGGTGGTGCATAACTACTTTCTAAGCTACGTCTCCGCGGCCGGCCTGCAGAAGATCGAGGTGGTACTCTACAACTACACACCCATGACATCGCTGCGCACTCTCACATCGAGTTCTATTGGCCGCTTTGTGAGTATCAAAGGCACTGTGGTGCGTGTGAGCAACATCAAGCCCAGGGTCACATGTATGACCTTCTCCTGCCCGATGTGTGGCGAATCTCAGGCCCAACTCTTCACGGATGGTACCTACGAAGTGCCCCAGAGTATGTAGGATCGATTGATCTGTGTATTTACATATAAACTCGGAATGGTTTCGCACATGAAGGTGAATATATGAAGACATTGTGGTGCGAGTGAAGAACATCAGTATCAAGCTCGTCACGTGTATGGCCTGATCGTGTCCGATGAGTGACGGTGCTCAGGCCTCGCGCTTCACAGATGGTATCTCAGTACCGCTACACACCATGTACGAAGATGTATTATATGTATATCATGTATTCAATTTGAGGAATGCTCGCGTGGATGTGTGTCTGCGAAGGCAGGGTGGTGCGAGTGAGCTTTACCAACTTCAGGCATAGGTGCATTAGGTTCTGTTGTCCGTTTTGTGGTGACTATTAGACCCAGAACCTCTCGTGTTGTTTTTATAGCGTGCCACACAGATTATGTACAAGCAGCTGTCATGTGTCTATCACGCACATTGTTTGACCTACACTGTCAAATGCCCCACACACGATACAGCCTGCTCAACCTTCCAATGCAAAGGAAAGAAATTCGAGCCGGAGAGGACCTCGGCCGATACGGTCACCACAGATTACCAGACGATTCGGTGAGTGATAACAAATGAGAATGCACTGATCCCAATTCCACTGCAAAATCTCGCGTATTGTGTTGTGGTTGTTTGTACCGTATGAATTTGTGAGCAAAACTCAAGGTGCCTCTCCTTGTGCTAACTCACAGGATTCAGGAGATGGTATCGAACAACAAAAAGGAGAGTGGACGCATTCCGCGAACAATCGAGTGCGAGCTGTCGGGCTGTATGCTGGACACAGTGACGCCGGGTGACATAGTGCATGCCACTGGCGAGGTGAAGGTGACCAGTGTGGACGAAGGAGGTGTGTTGTTTGTGCCTTAATAACGATATTTAAGTATATGTACGTAGGTTTTTTCAAGGTGGGGTTGTTTGTGCACCGAATATAAACTTTCTTAATTTTAGAGGTGTGTGTTGGAAGAAAATTCCCAAGACGCTCGTTAGGCCTGCAACTGGCGAGTGTGAGAGTTTCTTGTGTAGTGGAAAATAGGTGTTTTATCTTTTCGTAGAAATTTCTACACACTTTTTTGGTAGTATACAGATATAAGCTCAGATTTGTGTAAGTGTACAACATCTATTATCGTTGAAATCTGAGGCTATATATTGAAACAGGCTTGGCTTTACATTCATGTGCATGCATATATATAAATGTACATAATTTCATCGATGTAGTACATACAGTCATCGATGTAGAGGTACAAGCATATATTTAGAAACATGATACATAAACACAACTAGACGCATGTATCTCTGGACACATCATGCATATTTATATTCGCTGTATGTGGCCCATCAATCAACAACTACATCAAAACATGCACGTAGAAATTGTCTATACATAAATACTCGCCGATTTCCACGGGAGACTCACGGGTACATCGCCAATGTTAGCCGGCAGGAAGAAGAACAAATCGGCTATGTACCTGCTCTACATCAGTATCAACAGCGTGACGAGCACCAAGACCAAAACAAGTAACAAGATAGACTCGTCGTCCGGGTTTTCCATGGCGGATCTCTACGGCATTGAAGAAATTCAAACTCATGAACAGGTGAGTGGTTATATAAGCAGCTCTTACTGGGGGTGTTATCATTATCAATATTGACATGCCATACGGTTAAATGTGTTGCATGCAGAACCTAATGCGACCCATTATTACATGTAGCCTTAGACAAACAGTAAAGTCCCGATTCTGAATTCCGCGGCAGGTCACCAACCTCTTTGATTCTTGAGAATCTCGATGAGAATGAATCTTCGCACTGACCATCTCCCCTATGCTCATCGACGCATAAACAGCTCTTCCGCCTACTGGTACACTCCATTTCGCCTTCCATATATGGCCATGAGATGATTAAGGCGGGCCTTGTTCTGGCTCTGTTCGCGTCCGGACAGAAATTTGCAGATGATAAAAATAGAATTCCCATCCGCGGCGGAACACACGTACTCATTGTGGGCGATCCAGGCTTAGGAAAATCTCAGATGCTGCAAGCTGTTTCCGACATTGCCCCACGCTCTGTGTAAGTATCAGTGCGAAGCTACTTGCATGCATACACGTACACGGATAGACTTTTTGTTCCTATTATGCACAGAAACAGCCTTGTGTGTGTGTACAGACCAAAGTGAATATCAGAAAGTAAAGTCCTGAGTGAAAAGAACGCTTGTGCTCATCGTGGGCTGTCCACCCTAAGCCCTAATGCTCACACATTTGTGATACACATTCTCATCATTTGCGGTATCTGCGTGTTCATTGTAGTCTGGGTATTCTTTAGTAGATCAATGTGCGTGTAAGAACCGTATGCGGCATCATCCCACGCTTGGTTTGTGTCACAGTGGAGGTTTGTTTTGCATGTCTATTCGGCTGTTTTTTGATTTCAATCAACCACGATAGGTCATATCTGTCTGTAAATTAAAGCTAGTGACTGAACCTCGCTGGGAATTTTACATGTTCATTGGAGGCAACCCAGCCTTACGGCGGCCACATATGTTCAGTATCCCTCCATGCTCAGTGTATGTCGTAGTAGACGATTATCTGAGCTAGTTCGTGTTTTTTTTGCGAGTTTTACAAATATATTATTGTCTACATTCAACCACGCACGAGCTATGTGAGCGGAAACAATGCGGCAATCACATGCCCGGCCATATTGCGTCCCTGAGTATCAAAGACAAAAGTTAGTGGAAGAACCATAGACTGGATACTGGTGATTTGGGCCTGGTAAATCACGGTGATGTGTGAAATCGAAACTTGCACTTGTTTCATAGATACTCGAATAACTCGTTCACCTTATTGGTGTACCGAATCCCTTCAAATCACTGTAGATATGTGTGTGGAAATACGGCAACCGCCGCCGGCTTGACTGTTTCGCTGGTCAGAGACGGTAGTGGATCAGGTGACTATGCGCTGGAAGCAGGTGCTTTGGTATTGGCGGATCAAGGGTGCTGCTGTATCGACGAGTTTGATAAGATGGGCACCGATCATCAATCGCTCCTAGAGGCTATGGAACAACAGAGTATCAGTATCGCCAAAGCAGGTAATGGTTTCGACAAGATTAAGGTGATTGGTAGGAGAGATAGTTCCGTCTTTCAGAGATGAATGTTGCAGCAGTAACACACCTGCTAAGTGTTACTAGTATGGATATGACAGTTTATGTATAGAGGACTGCTTTTCTTTTGTAATCGGGGTCTTTTACCACCCACTTACAGTATCGAGATGCCTCCTTCACTTTTCGCAAGATCTACTAGTCTACTCGCTAGCTATATTACCTGTGTTGTTACCAGCGCAGTTTGATACGGGAATGCATAACTATTTTCACTATCACTAAAGTATGAATTTCGGTCGCTTATAGGTATTGTGTGCACGTTACCGGCCCGAACATCCATTATCGCCGCGGCGAATCCTATCGGGGGTCACTATAACACGGTAAGCATGTTAACTACGCTATCTGATTTATCTTAATGCGACAAAATCAACCTATTTTGTTCACTCTCGGTAAATCAGTATTCTTTTCAGCACATAGGATTCAACCCCACAAACTATTTAATCCGTTCTCTCGGGTGTCTGTTACTCTATCAATCTCTACTCAATAGGGACGAACAGTGTGCGAAAATCTGAAAATGCCAGCGCCTCTGCTCTCCCGTTTCGATCTCATTTTCATTCTTCTTGATAAGCCGGACGAGGAGATGGATCAGGTGTGTATGCCGCTTTCGTTTGTTCAGCTATCTCACTCATAGCTACTTAGAAGCAATTTGAATGTGAAAGTGCATGTGAGGCAGGTTATTTTTCTATCTGACTCCCTATACTTACGACCGTATGTGCTACTCTGCTGTACACAAATCCTATCGGAACTGTCCTGTGTGATAGTAAGAATGGCTAGGGCCGTCTTACGGGCCCACACCAACCTATATTATCCAGGCTTCTAATCCTACGCACTACTATTCCGCTTTCACTAGCTGGCGAGGTAGTTCTTCAGACCTTCAATAAAGGAGACAAACACATGGTGTCACATAAATAGCCAATTATTGTTAAACCCCGACCTGTGTCTAACAACCCCCACATACTTGCAATCAAAAGCACCTACTAAACATGTGAACTCGCATGCATGGCAGTCTCGCATATACCTTGCATACCTTCTTTAGTATCTTGCATGTTTGGCAGTTTTCACTTGCAGTCGCTACCGCCGCTAATTCGCAGACTTCGGACCAGTATTACGCTTGATACCTATTCCACAACAAATTCAATTGCCCATACTCATGCCTACGCGTGTCACCTGCTCGCTCCAAAAATACATATCAAAAATCGCTATTAATATAAAGTTGCTTTCCGAGCTATTCTACAAGCATTTGTCTTTCAGATATCTTTATTGTAGCCGTATTTGAGATACTATACAAGACTTTGACAACTGACATATATATA